ATGCATGTCTTCATACATGTACTTAGAGAAATGATATCCATCTCATTCCATCATCTTTTTTACCCCATGCCTCCTCCCTTCCCTTCCCACCCTTTTGCCCTATTAGTTACTTTTAAAAAAATTTTAAACTCTGATTTTTTTTTAGTTTACAATACAGTCTAAATAACTGTAGTCAGCACAGTACACATTAGATGTCTTGAAGTTACTCATAACTGAAAGCTTTTATCCTTTGACCAATATCTTTTCATCCCCCTCACCCAGAGCCTGATAACCACCATTCTACTTTTCTATTTCTATGAGTTCAATTTTTCAAGATTTCCCCTATATAAGATATGGTGTAATGATTGTCTTTCTCTGTCCAAGTTATTTCTCTTAGAATAATGTCCTCCACCTTGCTGCAAATGGCAAGATTTCTTTTTTTTTAAGATCAAATAGTGTTTTCTTGCATATGTATATATCAATATCACAATTTATTTATCCATTCATCCAATGAGCACCTATGTTATTTCCATACCTTGGGGTCTTGTGAATAATGCTGAAATGAATAGAAGAGTGCAGAAGTAGCCAAGAGTCCAGATGCCTCTTCAAGGTCATGGTTTTATTTCCTTTGGATACATACTGCAAATCCAGTAGCTTTACAGGTGTGGCACAAAGATGACACATGTTTTATAATGATATATTTTAATACACACACAAATAATTTTTTCCACATTTTTACATAATGGTGGGATTTATTGTTACATATTCATACATACATGCAATATTAACAATATAATTTGGTCAGTATTCCTCCTCAGTATTTTCCTTTTACTTCCCCTCCTTCCTCGCTCTGGTCCCTTTCTCCTGTTCTTCTTCTCGGTCTTCTATCTTCTATTTTCATGAAATCCCCCACACTTTTCGGTTTTCCTCTCTAGCTCTCAAATATAAGAGAAAACATACAACCTTTGACCTACTAAATTTGACTTATTTTGCTTAACATAATATTTGCAATTTCCATTCATTATCCTGAAAATGAAACAATTTTATTTTTCTTTATGCCTGGGTAAAACTCCATTGTATACACATGCACTTTTGATACATAACACACACATTTGTACACACTAGAAGTCTGCTTTTAAAGTAAAGCAGGAGGCATCACAATACCAGACCTTAAATTATACAACAGAGCCATAGTAACAAAAATGGCATAGTATTGGTACCAAAACAGATACATAGACCAATGGTACAGAATAGAAGACGCAGAGACAAACCCACATAAATACAGTTATCTCATACTAGACAAAGGCCCCAAAAACATACATTGGAGAAAAGATAGCCTCTTCAACAAATGGTGCTGAGAAAATTGGAAATCCCTATGTAGGGAAATGAAATTAAACCACTATCTCTCACCCTGCACAAAAATCAACTCAAAGTAGGTCAATGACTTAGGCACTAGAATCCTGAACCTAATAGAAGAAAAAGTAGGCCTGAATCTCTACCATGTTATCTTAGGAACTTTCTTAATAAGACTTCTAAAGCACAAGAAGTAAAATCAAGAATCAATAAGGGAGATGGAATTAAACTGAAAAGCTGCTTCACAGCAAAGGAAACAAACAGTAATATAAAGAGAGAGCCCACAGATGGGAGAAAATTTTTACCACATGCACCTCAGATAGACCATTACTCCCCAGGACATATAAAAAACTCAAAAGAAACTAAGACATTGAGATTTTAAATGACTTATCTATGGTTACCTGAGCAGTAGTGGTGAAACTGGGATTACATTTAACCCCCTCCCCCCAAAAATAAGCCTGTCAATAAATGGGATAAGGAACTGAACAGACATTTCACAGAAGAAGAAATCCAATCAATCAACAAATATATGAAAAAATGTTCAACATCTCTAGCAATTTAAGAAATGCAAATCAAAACTACACTGAGATTCCGTCTCCTTTTAGTCACAATGGCAATTATCATTAATACAAGCTACAATAAATGTTTGTGAGACTGGCGGGGAGGAGGTACACTCATTTATTGCTGGAAATTTGTGCAACCATTATAGAAAGCAGTATGGAGATTCCTCAGAAAACTTGGAATGGAAACAACCATGGTTTGACCCATTATCCCACTCCTAGGTTTATACATTACAGATTTAAAATTAGCATACTACAGTAACACAGCCACTCTGTTGATAGCAGCTCAATTCACAAACCGCTAACCTATGGAACCAACCTAGGTGCCCTTTAACAGATGAATGGATAAAGAAATCCATGGAATATTGCTCAGCCTTAAAGAAGAATGAAATTATGGCATTTTCCAGTAAATGAATGGAGCAGGAGAATATCATGCTAAGCTACATAAGCCAATCCCAAAGAACCAAAGGCCAAATGTTTTCTGTGATATGTAAACAATAATTCACAAATAAGGTCGATAGAGGAGAATAGAGGTACTTTGGACTAAACAGAGGGGAGTGAAGGGAGAGGAGGCGTTTGCAGGTAGGAGTGATAGTAGAATGAATTGGATATTATTACCCTTTGTGAATATATGATTCCAGAACTTTGTGCATATATGATTCCAGGTGTAGCTCTACATCATGTACAACCAGAAGAATGAGAAGTTATACTCCATCTATGTATGATGTGTCAAAATACATTGTACTGTCATGTAAAATTAATTAGAACAAATTTTTAAAAATTGCCAAAAACCGTCTGCTTTAAAAGAATGCGTATGTACATATGTATACACACACACACACACACACACACACACACCATACTTTAATTCTTCAGTCTTTTAGCACACTAATTTCTACCTCTTTCCTGTGTTCTTTAAGGTAGATAAATTTCATAAATTCATAATTCTTGTTATCCTATTTTGATATAATTGTTGATTCTTTTACTGACACCTTTACTTCTTTTTTAATTCTAATAATTATAACATTACTATGACACTTATCTCTTTCAGACCTCACTGCATTTCTATGATGAAATTGTTTCTCCAATCACCAGTTTTCAAAGTAGGAAACTAAAACGTTGAGATGTTAAATGACTTGCCTCTGGTTACCTGAGCAGTAGTGATAAACCCGCAGATTCTGCTCAGAATGATCTTACATTTAAACTGTAAATAATGTCAGAAAAGTTTGTATACAAATAATGTAATATCACTTCTGTCACAATCAGAAACTCTGTTTTCATTAGAAGATAAAGAGATACTTCTGTTTCTATGTCTTGGTTTACACATAATCTAAGGAAATACCATCTTTAGGCAGGACCTGTGTAGGTATGGCATGAAGAACAACAGCATGAAATGAGCCCATCTTGGAGGCTTAACAGAACCTGCTAAAGAGAGAAAGGAATCCTGCACCCCTGTTGATCACAGATGTGCAAAGCAAACATGAATGCTAAGGGGAAATCTTTCCTTACTGACTTGGATGTCATTTTTATATGAAATTCAAATATCTATAATTATTATTAGAACATTTGTTTACATATTTTCTGTGTCTATTTCTGCACTACATCAGAAGAGTTTACAACAGAGACCACAAAGCCCCAAATCCTTCTCTCTGAACTCTGAACCGAAAAAGTTTGCCAACCCATGACCTAGAGCTCCCAAAGGGCCATAATAATACTCGGTTGTCATTTTAATGTCCACTTCATGAAGGAAGCTTTAAGGGTTGTAGCATTCCGCAAAAAAAGAGAATCAAATTTTCTTATTAAATCATACATACTGGAGTTCCCAAATCTTCTTGAGTTCTTAATTGGAAGCCAATATATTTCAGCAATAATTTAAGGCCAGCATAATTTCTTATGAAATTTCACATAACAAGAAACGGGTCAAGAACATCCCATCTCCTTCTTTGAACCCTTTCTTTACAATGAATAAATTACCTGTCTTAGATTTGGCTTTCCTCCTGCTGCTTTGCTGGGCCTCACGGTTATGTGGACATGGTGATCTAGATTCACAAAATCTAGACTGGTGGAATCTTTTCTTTCTTGTGTATCCATTATCAAAATGTTCTACTATATACTGCCACATAATGTTCCTTATCCTTCTGCAAAACACGAAGTACTGAGCAAGGCCAATTCTTAATGGAAACTTTTACGTCCTTAAAGATAATTCCAAAAACTGAGAGAAAGTAAGTGATGCAGGCATATAGGAACAATTTCATAGAGTTGTTTTTCCTCCTAACTTTTGCAGGAACTGCTACATTTGATTCATTTGTATCAATGGATGGAAATGTCCCTGCATCTTTTTAGTCCTTTGATTCTCACACTGTGGAATACATTTGACTTACTGATTTTCAGTTTTGTAGGAGAAACTGTGTTTTTCTATCACATATCTAGTGGCCCAACTGTGACAGCAAATGAGCATTTCTCCAAGGGTAGCTACCTCAAATATTACAGGGAAGACCCAAGGAAGCACAGCTGTCTTTTCACACTTTGAGGCAGAGCCAGAGCAATGCTCTATGCAACAAACACACACACACACACAATTTTATGCAATTTATTAGAGCCCCATATTAGTTTGGGAATGTGTATTATTTTTGTGATGTGTCTTTAACTACTCTTCACATGTATGTGTCCATTCTTCCCAATTTATAAAATGATTCCTGGAAAGAAAGATTTTATCTTCAATTTTCTTTATATTTATTGATTTTTCTCTTTCCCTATTAAGGCATTGTACTAGCTAAATAATTTAAAGTATTTTTATTTTATTTCTTTAGGTTAATAAAGAGCCAAGATCTATCTCTTGTCAAAAATAATCATCCTCACTTTTATATACAATTACCAACTATTGCTATAACAAAGTATTATTTGAGATTCAACCTTTGTTACAAAAATATAAGTTTACATGTGCATGCCACATGACATTATCAGGCTATCATTTCTACTAAATGTTTATCCAAAATGGCATTTAGACTGTATGTTGACTTGTAGTTTTAATTAGTTAACATTAGGACTATACTTTGCTGGAACACTCTCATGTACTTTTGGGTTTGTTTGTTTGTTTTCACCTTTCAGGTGTACAAGAATTCCCAGAAAATATAAAGTGCTGTAAGTGTTTAACAATTATTGAAGCCAGTGTCAATCCCATTTCTAAGTGAGTATAAATTATTTCATTTCATTTGCATTTATGTTCCTCTTGGATGATAATATACTAAAATAATGAAATTTATAATAATAACTGAATAATTGAATCTTAAATGTAGCTTTGATATAGCCTTTAATAAAATGATGGGAAACACATAACCAAATCAGAATACTTCTACAAAAGATGATTTAAAACATTGCTGAATAGGAATGGTGCCAACTGGCACAGGATATCATTGTTTTGAAGCAAACTATGTCATCATTTTTCTGGAGTTCTCAGACTACATTCCATGGATGATCGTCAAAACTAAGAAAACACTTATTAGTTCTTTTCATAGTAGGAAATTAGTATCAAGGATCTTATGGAAATTCAAGAGAGTTCAAGACTTTAAGATATTGATAAATAGATTAAGAAATCTGTTTGTATAGATCAAAAAATTAAATATGGCTATCAATTGGAAGTATTTGTATATGAGGGATTACAGAAATGGCAGAGATCATCCTATGAAGATAGTACAATAGAAGGTACAAATGCTAAGGAGGTTAGGATCAGAGAAGAAGGGTTTTGTGACTTAAGATCTACTAAGGAATTCTATGGAAAAATAAGATTTTGAGATGACCATGACTTGAGGGTGTGATGTAGTGATAGAAGTCTATGGGATCCAGTAAAGAAATTGTGATGGGAATGGCTTGGATGAGTCATGATACTGAATGGAAAAGCATGAAGTGGAAATAGAACCTAGGAGGCTATTCGCAGTTGTAGTATTATTTGGGATAGATTAAAACAAATCTGTGGTATTGGGATGCAGGTAATAAACTTTCCAAGAAAGAAGGTGTTAATTATATCAAACTGACATTGGGATTTGAGCAAAATCTCTCAGCTCTTTGTCCTCATAAAGCTGGGGAGGTTGGGGAAAAGCCCACTGGGAAGGCATTTAATGAATGGAGTATTGTCTATAAGAAGGCAAAGAAGATAATCAAAGAGAAACTGAAGACAAATTTCATACGAGCGAAGTTGAGGAGAGGGACCTGTTGTTTCCTATGGATCATAGATAAGATTGCACATAAGACCAGGGATGAGGCAGAAGTTTAAAAGGAGGTCTTTATACAAGTTGTTTATGAAATAATTTGAGTCCCTTTATAGAAAGTGTGGAACATCAAACAATAAAATGTGTTTGAACGTTACAATGTTTCTGCCTCAAAAATAGAATATGGAGAGAGAAAACCAAAATAGAATACAGAGAGAGAAATCCCAAAATTCTTTGAGCAAATATGATTATTCCAACATTTCCACAAAATAGATGTTACTACAAACATCTCCTTAACCTTAGTCACATGATCCAGCAGAGATAATAAATTGTTTTGTTTTGGTTTTTCCTAATTCTTTAGTTCTGATAGTTTCTATAATTTAGGAACCATGGTAGTTCTTTGGTGGTAGAAGCCAGGTGATAAATTATATCTTTTTTAAAAAAAATACTCTTTTTTTTAAGATGTTGATGGACCTTTATTTTATTTTTTATTTATATGTGGTGCTGAGAATTGAACCCAGTGGCTCGCACATGCTAGGCAAGTGCTCTGTCACTGAGCCACAGCTCCAGACCCTAAATTATATCTTTACAAAGTTTAAAGTCAGTAGTTTTATGGAATGTTTCTGAATTGCATTCACATATTCGACTTTTAAAAGATGAAAGATACAAACTGTTTCATTTTTAAAAAGAAGTCTAACTCTGTAAACATTAAGCAATTTGGGAATTCATAAAATATGACTCAAGAGAAAAGTAAACTGAAGTAGTATATTAATTCTCAAAGTCAGGTTTTTAAAGATATAAGATGCATAAGTAGGTTCATCCGCTTTTGGAGTATGAGTCAATGAATTTTAATAAATGTACATAGTCATGTAACTGTCACCAGAACTAGATACAGATGATTTTCGACATCCCCAAAAGTTCCCTAAACCCAAACATACACTGTAACCTGATTAATATCCCCATGGTTTTACCCTTTCCAAAATGTCATATAAATGCTGTGTGTCATATAAATGATATATATCAGATACTTTTGTGTCTGATTTCTTTTATTTAATATATGATTGTGAGATTTAGCCATAGTGTTTCAATAGTCAATTCTTCATTCCTCTTTATTGGTAGGTAGTATTTCATTGTATGGCTAGAACATGATTTGTGTATCTATCTGTTGACAGCCATCTAGGTTGTTTCCACTTTTGGACTACTATGAATACTGCTTATATAAATTAAGTACAGGTGTATGTCTGAGTGTGTTTTCTTTTGTACATAAATACCTGGGTAATATAGTACCTGTATGTTTAACCTTATGAGAAACTTAAAAATTGCTTCCAAAAGAGCTATTAAATTGAGCATTCCCAACAGCAATGTATTAGAGTTTCAGTTATTGTTTGTCTGTGTCCCTATTTGGTGCTATAAGTTTTTATTTTTTTAATTTTATCCAAACTAGTAGATGTGTTATCTCATTATGTTTTTAATTTACATTTTAAGGCATAATTAGTACCTTGCCTTGTACTTATTTTAAAAATATATTGCTTCTTTTTTAATGATTCCAAATTTTTGTTGACACATTTTTATTATTGAATCAAAGAATTGATAGCATATTTTAGATACAAGTCCTTTAATTGATAAGATATCTGTTAGTGAATATTTGCTCCAATTCTTTGGCTTATCTCTTTGTGTTCTGAATAGTGTCCTTTAAAGAGAAGTTTTGATTTTGGTGAAATCCTACTTAATAATATTTTATAACCTGTGCTCTGTTTTCCTAAGAGCTCTTTGCTAAATTCATAGTTATAACAATTTTGCCTACCCTTTATTCTGGAACTTTTTATAGCTTAGGTTTTAGATTTTACATTTAAGTCTGTGTTCATTTAAAGTTGACTTTTGCAGATGTGTCAGGTTTAAGCTCTGTGGTTCACTTCTTTGCACATAGACACCTAGTTGTTCAATACCATTTGTTGGAAACATTATCTTTTCATTATAGAATTACCCTAAGTACCTTTATTGAAAATCAGTTGATACATGTTTGGATCCATAGCTGGATTTTCTACTATGTTACATTAGTCTATATGCTTGTTCTTATCCTATTTCCATGCTGTCTTAGCTTTATAGTAAATCCCGAAATCAGGGAGTAAGAATCCTTCTTTCACCTTTGTTCTTCTTCATCAAAATTGTTTGGACTATTTTATGACCACCATTCTATATAAATTTTATAATGAGCTTGCCAATTCTTCAGAGATATAAAATCCTGCTGGCATTTTTATAGTCATTGCCTTGAACCTATAGCTCAATTTGACTCACATTGGTGTCTTTAAAATATTTAGTATTGTCTCTGAGCATAGTATAACTACATACTTTTTTGGGGGTAATTCTTTTATCAAGGCTTTATGGGTTTCAATATATAAATATTGCACCTTTTATTTGTTTTCCTGAACATTTCATGTCATTTGTGCTATTGTAGATTTTTTATTTATAATTCCAATTTGTTTATTACTATTATGTATAAATAATTGATTTATATATATCCACCTCATATCCTTCAACTTTAGTCCTGGATTGTTTCTGCAGATTTGAGGGAGATTTTCTATGTAAGCAATAATGTCATCTGTGAATAAAATAGTTTTATTTTATTATTTTTCATCTGTATGCCATTTATTTTTCTTGCCTTATTATCTTGGCTAGGTCCTCCTTTACACATCGAATACAAGAAGTGAGAATAGAAATCACTGACTTGCTTTCAGTCTTAGTGAGGTAGACTTTCTCTGTTATGTATTGTTATTACTTTTTGGCATTTACCAGTCTGTGACTACTACTTGGTTTTAAAGCCACTCCACATTATTAGGAATTAGTTACAGCAGAACCCCATTCCGAGTAGCAAAATCGGTGTTCATTTCCTAATGCTATGTAAGAAATCACCACAAATTTAGCAGCTTAAAACAATACATACTCATTATCTCTCAATTTCAGTGGTTCAGAGTGGTTCAGGAATCTAGGCATGGGTTCCCTGCTTCATGGTTTCACCAGACTGTAATCAAGGTATGAGTTGAACTGTATTCTTATCAGGAGACTTACTGGAGAACAATACAAGTCAGAATCCAACTTACTTTGTTGACAAGTTCATTTCCTCATTGTTATAAAGCTGTATATCCTAGCTTTACCCTAGCTGTCAGCTAGAGGCTACTCTTGGGACCTAAAGGCTGTATATAGTTCCCTGCCACATAATCCTTTCCACAGGCAGCTCACAGCAGGAAGTTTGCTTCTTTAAGGACAACAACTGAGTAAGAGTGAGTGTTCTGGTAAGATGGAGTCTTCTAATATAACATAGTTATGGTAGTGTACAATTTGCCACATTCTGTTGATTAGTAGCAAATCATAGGTCCTACCAACAATCAAATGGGGATGCTTCAAAGGCATGAACATCAGGAGGTGAGGATCAAGGGGGCCACCAGAGAAAGTATTCATCACACCTTTTATATCTGTTTTGCTGACAGTTTTTTTTTTTAATCATCAATGGTTGTTGAATATTTTCAGTTACCTTTTCGACATCTATTGACATAATTATCTGTTTTTTCTCCACTTGTCTGATCATATGGTGACTGGCATTGATTTTTTTTTTACATCAACCCGACTTTACATTGCAGGGATACACTCCACTTGGTCAAGAAGTATTATTCATTTTTCTGTATCAATTGCTGTAATATTTGTTGATGGTTTTTCCGTCTATATTCATGAGGCATATTCTTCTGAAGTTCCTTTTCTTGTAATTTCTTTGCCTGGTTTTGCCTATCAGGGTAAAACTTCATAAAATGAATTGGAAAATGTTCTGTTCTATTTTCCATAAGAAATTGTATAGAATTTGGTATTATTTTCTTATTAAATATTGGCAGATTTTGTCAGTGCAGCCATTCAGGCCTGCAGTTTTCATTATAAGAATGTTTTTTACTGCAAATTGAATTTTCATAATAACTGTATGGTACTTCAAACTACC